TTCCCCCCGCCCCCCCTTACCTGATCGCCCGCAGTCCGAGCACGAGACCAACTCCTCCGGTTGCCCCGTCTTCTTGTTGATTTTGGAGTCTCCCAGGCAGAAATCGCAGTAGTTGTTGGGCAAAGCTAAGCCGTCGGGTCCTTTCTTGGCTGGAAAAGCAGTCTTGGCTGGAAAAGCAGAGGGGGAGAGACGGATTAGCCGCGGGGCGAAGGCTTTCTGCACGGGACCAGGAGAAAACACTGCCACGGCGCAAATCCCGACGCTCGGAGCTGCCTTTCCGGCAACTTCCGAGCCCCGGGGCGATGCCACGGTGCTCAGAAGCATCGGGGAAGGGACGCTGCTCGCTCCCAGCCCCGGCACGGGTGGTTTCCCGGCTTTGCTGCCTTTTTCACGACGGGGATTTTGGCGGAGGGGGCGTGTTTTGCTTACATTTCTGCTCCTCCGATCGCTGCGAGACGGGAGTGGGGGGCTGCGAATCGTCCTTGTCGTCGCCTTCTTCCTCGGCCAGGTGGGAGTGAGCGTAGTGGTAGCTCAATCCCGGCCGATTCTTGTATCGCTTCCCGCAGACTACGGATAGAAATGGGAAAAGTCTGAGTTCACCCCGGCGGGGAGCGAGACCCCGCACCCCAAATCATCCGGCATCCCCCGGTCCCGTCTCCGGGCTTTGAGCACAGACGGCTGCTCCCCTTCCGCCCCCAAATCACCTGGAATTTATTAAAACCACCCAGGAAAACCCTAACGAAGGGGTTTGGGGCTGGACCCTCCGGATCGGGTCTGGAACAGCCGGAGAGGCACCGCAGCTTCCTCTGCGCATCGCACCGCGGGAGGGCTAAAGGTGATTTGGTGGGCGATCGATACCCACCACGGCCGGGTAACGACGGTGGCTCGATAAACGCAGCTTTACAGCCCTCGGTAAAGGAGCGAAACCACACGGCGATCAATCCAAGCGGCAAAAGCCGGTCGGAAAGATACTTGTGGGGGGGGATTTCCCACCCAAAACCCACCTCCTACACCAGCCGGGTACAACGTGCGACGTGCGCGAAGGGGAGATTGGGGGGGGACACGTGCGCGAAGGGGAGATTTTTTTTTGGGGGGGGACCCCGAGGAGGGAAACCGCAGCCGCCACGGGCACATCTCGGCTCCGCTCCCTCCTCTGGACCCACCTGGTTCCTTCAAACCTGACCCGAGCGCGGCGTGAAATCGCCCACCGCCCCCAACGCCATCGCTTTGCCCGCTTTCCGCCCCGTTTCTTGCAGGGTCGGGGAGCTTACGCCCTCGGTCCGGCGGCAGGCGCTTCCTTGGGGAGACCTCCCGAGCACCCATGGACCGGGGAAGCGCCTTCCCTGCCAGGGAGCGGGCTCCCAGCTCGCCGTCACCGGTTTTCCGGCGGGTTTTTTCGGCAGCTTTTTAGCCGCGAGGCTCCGAGGTCATCCCGAAACCCCCCTTTCAGCCCCCCGTCTAAGCGCGGGCAGGACGAGCACAAAGCCGGCGCTGGCCTTGCAGCCTCCTACTGCCGGCACGGTAGAGGAGGGAGGCTGGCCGGGCACGAGGATGGGAATCGGGGTGAAATCCCCCCCAGAAAGAGCCGGAGCGGGATTTACGGGGCCCGGTGGACGGATTTGGCGAGGGGTTTTCCCCGCGTTTTTTCGGGGCAAGCCAGGCAAGTCGGGAAAAAAAAATCGCTTTGGGATGAGATTTCCCGAGCCTGGAGCTTTTCCGTTAACATCCCGGATTTTTTCCGGATCCACTTCCAGGTTCGCTTGAAGCCTGGAGAAACCCCATTCCACCCCCTCCCACGCCATCGACTCACTCCGAAAATAGCGGCGGGGGGGGTGGGGAAAGCAGCCCAGCTCAGCCTGCTCGCCGAGGACGGGGTTTGAAGCCCCCTAAGAGAGCCCGACGCAAGCAGCCGGCGTCGGCTTTTCGGGGCGAAAGCCGCAGATTTCCTCCCCCTCCCCGAGCAAAGTGATCTGCGGGATGCTCGCCACCCCGGGGAATACGTTTGGCATCGGCAGGTCCGGAGCGGCTCGGCAAAGCGGCGCAAACCCGGCGAAGGAGGGGGGGAAAAGCAGCCCGAAAAGCAGCCGTGGCAGCAATTACAACCTTATTACATCAAATTCCGGCTTTCCAGAGCCAACCGAGGGCATGACGGGGTCGGCCCCGTGAGCAGCCACGCGGAGCTGGCGGGCGGCGTTTTCTTCCTCCTGGGTTTAAAACTGACCTTTCCCCCCTGCCCAAAAAACCTCCCCCCCCCCAGGCAGGCCGGTATCGAAACACGAGTCGGGTTTCCTCCTCCCGAACGGCAAGGAAGAGGAGCCGCCGCGAAGCCGATCTCGGC